TGTTGGAGTGTGAGCAAAGTAACATTTATGAAGGGGTTCAGGGAAACCGGCAGGCTGGACTTGAGTCCTGGAGATGGGAAGTACAGTGCCTGCACTCTGAAGGAGGGGTGTTAATGTTGCAGTTTAAAAACTGTAGTGTAAAGCACCCTTCTGGCAAGACAGTGATGAAGTGAATGATGGTGAAAGTTTTTCTTTTTCGGGCCACCCTGCCTTGGTGGGAATCAGCCAGTGTGTTAATAAAAAAGAAAAAAAATTATAAGGTTCAGTTATTCAGTATTTATTTGGTTTTGGGTGAGTAAGTGATCTTTGAGAAGAGACTTGAATTTATAAACAGTTAGTGTTTCTTTTATATTTACAGGTAATGAATTCCAGATTTTAGGGCCTTTTATGTGCATTGAGTTTTTGCATAGCGTGAGATGGACACGAGGAACATCAAAGAGTGATCTATGCCTTTTGTTATGGTCATGTGTTCTTTTCAGGTTGGCAAGGAGATGTTTGAGGGGAGGGTTAATATCAGAGTTAAGTGTTCTATGTATGTAATAGGTGCAGTAATAAGTATGGATGTTTTGTATGGTGAGTAGGTTTAGTGTTTTGAATATTGGTGGAGTGTGCTGTTTGTAGTGGGAATTTGTTATCATTCTGACTGCAGCGTTTTGTTGGGTAATTAGTGGTCTGAGATGGTTAATTGTTGTTGAGCCCCATGCACAAATACCATAGGTGAGATAGGGGTAAATAAGAGAGTGATATAGGGCCAGGAGGGCTGACTGTGGAGCATAGTACCGTATCTTCGATAGTATGCCTACAGTCTTGGAAATTTTCTTAGAAATTTGTTGTATATGTGTATGAAATTTGAGTCTATTTTCAAGGTGGATTCCTAAGAATTTTCCCTCTGTTAGCTTTGTGATAGGTGATCCGTTTATCATTATGTTAAGAGGGACATCTGTAGCTCTGTTACCAAACTGAATGAAGTAGGTTTTGTCAATGTTTAGTGTAAGTTTGTTAGTCCCTCATCCAGGTAGATATTTTCTGTAATTTGGTATTTACAGTATTGGCTAGCGTGACTGGGCTCGGGTGAGAGAAGACGTATGTAGTGTCATCTGCAAATAGTGTGGGTTTTGAGTAATTGCGAAGCATTTGGTAGGTCATTTATGTATAGGAGAAAGAGAAGAGGGCCAAGGACACTTCCCTGTGGGACACCAACTGTAATTGGTTGTGCGGAAGAGTTTGCCCCATTTGCGTACACATATTGGCTTCTGTTGCTGAGGTATGACTTGAGTAGTTGAGGGAGTGCCCTTTTATACCATAGTGTGACAATTTTATGTGGAGCAAGTCATGGTCAACTGTATCAAAAGCTTTACGTAAGTCAATGAAGATCCCCAGTGGGACTTCTTTTTTCTCTATTGCAGTGTATATATGTTCTAGCATGTGTATAATAGCATCATTAGTATTTTTATTAGGCCTGAATCCAAATTGGCAGGGGTTGAGTATGTTTTGGGAGATGAGGTAGGAGTAGATTCGTTTATGAATTAATTTTTCGAAGTTTTTTGGTGGGGGGGGGTGTAAGTTGGATTTTGGGCCCTATAGTTGTTCAACTCTTTTTGGTCTCCTCCTTTATGGTCGGGGTGACCCTTGCTATTTTGAGAATGTAGGGAAGGGTTTGGGGGGATTCATGGTTTTGTTAAAGAGTGTTGCAATGATTGGTGATAGCACTTGTGAAAATTTTTTTGTATATAAAGGGTGGTAAGGTATTTAATCTCCTGCCTTGTTTTTTAGTGCGTTGATAATAAGGGAGACTTCGTATGGGTTAGTCGGAGCTAGGAACAGTGTGTTCGGGTAGTTGCCAGTAAAGGTTGTCATTTGGTGGGGTATCTGAGCTTGGGATTTTAATGGCAAGGGTTTTTGTCCTATAGTGGAGAAAAAATCATTGAGTCGTTTGCGTTTCTGTTGGTGGGAGTTGGGGTTCATCTGATTTTGCTAATTTTATTTCACTATTTCGTGATATTTTTTTGTTCCTAGAATTTTCTGATGGGGTTTTCAAGGTCTTTTTTAATCACCTCGTAAGTTGGATAATCTGTTCTTTTATAAAATTTTTTTTTGCCCTTCTTATCAGGCTGGTTAGATTGATGATTAACGTTTTGTTTGGTCTCTGGTTATGTGACCATTCTGTACTGTTTTTCATATCGGTGTTTTGTATTTGTGGATTTGAGAATGCTGGGTGTTAGCCAGGGACTGTTCAGTCTCTTAGCTGTCATCTGTTTAGTTTTTATAGGGCAGTGCTTGTTATAGAGGTATTGGGTCTTTTTTAGAAAATTTTTAAATACATTTCGTCAATATCTGTATAGATTTTCTAGCTCAGTGTCCCAGTCAATGTTTGTTACTGCTGTTGTGAAGTTTTTAAATTTGGCTGCCTCATTGTGAAGTCTGAAGGTGACTTTAGTAGTGTCTTGGGGTATTTTACCAAGAGTTGTTATGAGGAAAGTAGGGTAGTGGTCTGTGGTATTATCTGTAATTATGCCTGATTTTAAAGGGGATATGGTGTTGGTTCCAGATGTGGTCAAGTAGGGAAACACTAGTCCCCGTAAACTCTTGTAGGTTTTGTTACTGTTGGTAGCAACATGCAGTTACTCATTGTGTTTGTGAATTCAGGAATTTTTGGGGCCCCTGGTCTTGCAGGAGATTTATATTGAAGTCCCCTTTGGGGTAGTAAGTGATCTTTGTTCATGCGTCCATCAGTTATCATACTTCCTAGGTTTTTACTAAATTGGCTAATGTTTGACTGTGGAACTCTGTAGATGGGTTTTTCAATGTGAGAGGTTTTTGTAGGTATTTGGGTTTGAATTTAGCTATTATATATTCCCCATGTTCATCCCTTGTGCAGTATTATTGATACATTCAAATTGGTCTGAGTAGTATATAGCTGTGCCACCCCTTGTTGATCTGGCCTACAGTTGTGTATGGCTGGGTAACCAGGAATGGCATAGACATCTGTAGTATCAGGTTTTAGCCAGGTTTCAGTTAGTGTAATGAGTGGACATATTAGCATGCAAGGAATTTAGTAATGTATGAGGTCATCGTAATGCTTGCTTAAAGATCTGATATTGTAGTTAATAACAGTTTTTGTTGTTGTTGGGTCTGAGGAGTGCCTTTGATTGTTCTGCTTTTGTAGTAATTACAGTAACTGTTTGATTCATTTAAGTCATTAATAAGTGGTTGGTATCAGGATCAATGCTTGTAATCATAAGATTTGTAGTGAATCTATAGTTAGAATTAAGTATAAAACAAAGTAAATAGTCTAAAGCTAAAAAATTGCACCTGAATTATTTAACAAATGTAAAAATAATGAGCTGAGGTAGTTTTTTTTTTAAAGCTAAAATAAAGGAGACAATATAAAAGGGACTAAAATAATTTGTGGTGAACAAATAAAGTGATGATCAAATAATGGAGCTTGGCAATATGATAGTACGTAGTACTTTAAAGGTAATTCTTTAAAGTTAGAATTAGGGAAAACAATATAAACGGGACTAATATAAGTTGTGGTGAACAACAAAGTGATAATCAAATAAATGAGCTTTGGAAACAAACAGACGATGTTTCTGGTTATGGTTCATAAACATTCATACAAACACCTTACATTGTGTACAAGTTGTCTCCACAGTGGTACAGTAGAATAAATAAAGATCAACACTTTCATTCTCATGTAATTTTTAGAAGGAATGATGCTTTGACTAATTATTATTACCATTATTACAAGTTATTATTATAAGTTATTATTATTACAAATTATTATTATAATCATAATAAAAAAGAAGCACTAAACCCACAAGGGTCATGAATTGCTATATATAGAATGAAGGGATACGAAAGGAATATTTATTTTACAGTTATACCCCAGTAAATAACAAAAAAAGGCACAATACCGTGACTGGAACGATACACAAATAACCCGCACATAAAAGAGAAAGCTTACGACGACGTTTCGGTCCGACTTGGACCATTTACAAAGTCACACTAACCAGTGTTTGACTAGAGAAAACAATTTTTCTGATACTCCTACAAAGCCGCTTTGTAAAGAAATCTCATATTTGTGTCAATTTTTGTTCTCTGGGTGTATGTACGTATAATATTTATATGCTATGTAACGTGTTTCTTATATAATTTTGAAGAAAATATCTTAGATGGATTAATGAAAATGTCTATATTAACGTAAAATAAGACTTGAATGTGCCCAAGAGAGATGATTATGTAGTATTACTATGGCATCATGAGTAGAGACTCTTAGTGATTTTAATGTGTACCTGCATGCCAGCACAGTGTTTAAGTATATTTAGGTACAGGTATACATAAGCATAATTATCAGAGTACACATACTGCTCTTACCTGTATTTGTTGTACCTCTGTATGTGTGCTCAAATTTTTAAATAAATAAATAAATAAATAAAATACACAATAACTTTAAAACACCTGAAATTTTGGAAAGTTCCCAGACATAATAGATGTGCTCACAGAGAATGTAAACAAACCGGGTGGGGGCGCGCCATATTTGAAAGACTGCATGCCGTATAGCAAATTTTGGTCATAATTTGAAGTCGCCGTATTAGCGGAACGCTGTGAAGCGGGGCCCTACTGTATAGATGCTGTGTGGTATACCTGGAGAGGGGTTCAGGGGTCATTGCCCACATGGCCTGGTCTGAGACCAGGCCTCATGGTGGATCAGAGTTTGATCAATCAGGCTGTTACTGTTCACTACATGCAAACTGATGTACAAACCACACCCCGGCTGGTCAGGTACTGACTAGGTGCTTGTCCAGTCCCTACCTGAAGACTGCCAGGGGTCTATTGGTAATATGCTTTATGTATGCTGGGAGGCAGTTGAACAGTCTTGGGCCCCTGACACTTATTGTGTATTCTCTCACTGTACTTGTAGTGCCCCTGGTACATAAAAATCATTTTATTCCTTGAATAGGTATGAATTAAGAGTAATTATATGTGTTTTTTTTCAGTCACCTGGATGACTCGCCACCTCTCAATACACGTGGCTATTACTGCCCCCAGTGCACAGCCAAGTACTGTGATCTTCCTGCTGAATGTCGTGTGTGTGGCCTCATGTTGGTTACGGCACCACATCTTGCACGATCTTACAGGTACAAAGAATGGCTTCTTTTAACCAGGTAATGCTAAAATGACCTGGCATTAACTAGGTAAATAATAAAACCAAAGTCAGCAGCTGTTCAGATAATTAAATTAAAAGGAGTTAGAACATCAGTCCAAATTTTTTCCAACAGTCCAAAACTTTCTTTGAATCATTTGGGTTAGCCGTGCAAAATTTTGTTAAACTAACTTCAGAGGCCTCTGCATGAATCCTGAGTGAAGAGAGACATAGTTGGACACAGGCTTTAAACATCATTTAACATTCCATAAATCTGTATAGTTTTATAAAACATTAGTTTTATACATACAAGATTATCCATAATAAAAATTATGGCTATTAATTTCCAACAGTTGAAATGCATGTAGCATAATATAGCTTTAATGTAGTGTGCACCGATTGTCTTTGTAGCATACGTTACTTTCATTTTATTTGACTATTAATTGTTTTACAAGCAAGTACAGTGGTACCTCAGGATGCGAACTTAATTCATTCCAGAAGGCTGTTTGAGTGCCGATACCGAACGAATTTGTTCCCATAAGGAATATTGTAAATTAGATTAATCTGTTTCAGATCCCCAAAAATACACTTACCAAAGCACTTATATAATTGTTCGAGTTTTGAGCTGTTCGTATCCCTATTTTGTGCTTTGCCATTTATTTGCTAAACTAGCTGGCAAAGCATCTTACCAGTTGAAGATTCAACTCTGTATATATTATTGGTTACTAAGTACGAAGTAAAGCTTTTAAAATGATAAGTAGCTAGAATTCTAGGTACAGTAGTAGGTTGGTAGACAGCAGCCGCCCAGGGAGGTACTACCGTCCTGCCAAGTGAGTGTAAAACGGAAACCTGTAATTGTTTTACATGATGGTAGGGTTGCTGGTGTCTTTTTTCTGTCTCACAAACATGCAAGATTTCAGGTATGTCTTGCTACTTCTACTTACACTTGGGTCACACTACTCATACATGTCTTTCTTCTTTCTTTCAACATACCAGGCCGTATCCCACTGAGGTGGGGTGGCCCAAAAGGAAAAACGAAAGTTTCTCCTTTTAAATTTAGTAATATATACAGGAGAAGGGGTTACTAGCCCCTTGCTCCCGGCATTTTAGTCGCCTCTTGCAACACGCATGGCTTACGGAGGAAGAATTCTGTTCCACTTCCCCATGGAGATAAGAGGAAATAAACAAGAACAAGAACTAGAAAGAAAATAGAAGAAAACCCAGAAGGGTGTGTATATATATGCTTGTACTTGTATGTGTAGTGTGACCTAAGTGTAAGTAGAAGTAGCAAGACATACCTGAAATCTTGCATGTTTATGAGACAGAAAAAAGACACCAGCAAACCTACCATCATGTAAAACAATTACAGGTTTCCGTTTTACACTCACTTGGCAGGACGGTAGTACCTTCCTGGGTGGTTGTTGTTTGCCAACCTACTACCTAGGACTCATACATATATAAGCATATATGTACACCCCTCTGAGGTTTCTTCTGTTTTTCTTATTAGTTCCTGTTCTTATTTATTTCCTTTTATCTCCATGGGGAAGTGGAATGGAATTCTTCCTCCCTGTATACATTACTCAAGTTAAAAAGATAAACTTTTGTTTTTCTTTTTAGTCACCCTGCCTCTGTGAGATATGGCCAGTTGGATAAAAAAAAAAGTAGCTAGAATTTCAGCAAATCAAATGTAGAATGTCAATATTACACATCTGATCAGATATCTGTTTAATCTAGATGATAAAAATATTTGTTTCTGCAGACATCTCTTCCCACTGAAACAATTTGATGAGGTGCTGGTAGAAGAAACTACAGCCAAGAACTGTTATGGGTGCCTGAAGCATTTTACAGAAACTGCAGCTGATAAAAAAGTGAGTCTTGCATTTACATTATAAATTACAAGCATCTGACTCCCACCATAGATGGCACTACTTTCATGCCATTTTAGTACTATACAGCATAGTCATTGAAGTACAGTGCATAGATGTATGATTTCGTAATGTAGCATTACAGTGGCCTCAGTCCTGTATTACCACTCAGTTTCACTTTCATTATTAATGTAAAACCTTTCATTAACAGATTTTGGCAATTTCAGACAAAATACTGGCTGGACTAATGCTCTAATTATCTGACAAAATGGGTAAAAGTTCATAATTCCACATTTTGTCCATAGCAATAATGTCCTGTTGGCTTCTAAAGTATCAGGTCAAGTCCGCTAACTCTGAATTATTATTATTATAATCAAAAAGAAGCGCTAAGCCACAAGGACTATACAGCCGCTAACTCTGAAGATTGCCAAAGCAGCCATGTCCATGATCTTCATGTTTTAATTGTTCCTTGAATCAGAAGTCCAGCCTTGCCAGTTTATTGTTTATGCTCACTCATACATACACTCATCATTCAGTCTACCTTTTTCTGGATTTAGAATATTTTGTGTGACATCATTAACATATTAAGCAAAGTGCAATTAACAATGGCTTGGTGCCAAGAGAAAATGTGTGGTTCTTAGAAACCTGTCTTTTTAGCTTCCTACATCTTCTCAGCCATCTGTCTTCTCAGCCATCTACATCTCAGCCATCTACATTATTTTCAATCTTATTCAGAATATGTTATTCTGAATCACCACTAATGACCTCATCTCTCCACCATGGAACCCCTCAAGGAAGGTTCCTTGATGTTGGTGAGGGGCTCTTGATTTAGGGAATTGGATCTGTGCTCCAGTTCCCCGAATTAAGCATGAATGCCTTCCACATCCCCCCCCCAGGCGCTGTATAATCCTCCGGGTTTAGCGCTTCCCCCTTGATTATAATAATAATAATCCACCATGGAAAGGAAAGTAAAATTAATTTAAATTGAGTACTAAAAAATTACTATACAGTACAGTACTGTTCTGTAGTAGTAGTAGTATAGGGTATAACATCCATATTCTTAGTGTCTGGGTGTGTACTGCACCAGCAGACCAGCTCCGCTACTTCAGAAGACAGCTGGACCCTCATGAAATATTAACTTCATAATTCGGAAGCTGCAGACAGTTGGCATTATTGTAGCCCCCTTTTCCCCTATTACTCCATTAATGAGAGGTTTTACTGTATTGTTTCATATTAAATGAGAATTAAGGGTAACAGGTATTGAAAACATTAAAATACATAAAAAATATTTGATACATTTTTTCAGTTCAAATGTGTTTTGGGATTTTTCTTTTGCATGCTATTACAATGAAAAAAGAAAGAGGACATTGTTTATTTTATGTTTCCTGTGATTTATAATATTTAGCTATTTTCTGGTAAATCTATCTCTCTCTCTCTCTCCCTCTCTGTGTTTGTTTATATTTATTTATTTAAAGGTGAGTGGTGCATTGAGGTATCTGTGGAGACAAAAAATCGTTATCCATGGAGTCAAAGAAGGGAATGTATGAGAGTACAGTGGTACCAACATTCTTATATGGATGTGAAGTATGGGTTGTAAATGCTGCAGCAAGGAGGAGGCTGGAGGCAGTGATGTTGTGTCTAAGGGCAATGTGTGGTGTAAATATTATGCAGAGAATTCGTAGTGTTGTAGGTAGTAGATTGGTAGACAGCAACCACCCAGGGAGGCACTACCGTCCTGCCAAGTGAGTGTAAAACGGAAACCTGTAATTGTTTTACATGATGGTAGGATTGCTGGTGTCTTTTCTGTCTCATAATCATGCAAAATTTCAGGTACGTCTTGCTACTTCTACTTACACTTAGGTCACACTACACATACATGTACAATCATATATATACACACCTCTCTGGGTTTTCTTCTATTTTCTTTCTAGTTCTTGTTCTTGTTTATTTCCTCTTTTCTCCGTGGGGAAGTGGAACAGAATTCTTCCTCTGTAAGCCATGCATGCTGTAAGAGGCGACTAAAATGCCGGGAGCAAGGGGTTAGCAACTCCTTCTCCTGTATAGATTACTAAATTTAAAAAGATAAACTTTTGTTTTTGGTTGATCAGGCTCTGATCCACCAGGAGGCCTGGTCACAGACCGGGCCGCCGGGCGTTGACCCCCAGAACTCTCTCCAGGTAAACTCCAGGTAAACCCTGCCTTGGTGGGATACGGCTGGTTTGTTGAAAAAAAAAAAATCGTAGTGCGGAAATTAGGAGGTGTGGAGTTACTAAAAGCATTAGTCAGAGGGCTGAAGAGGGGTTGTTTAGGTGGTTTGGTCATTTAGAGATGATGGAACAAAGTAGAATGTCTTTGAGAGCGTATAAATCTGTAGGGGTGGGAAGTCAGGGTGGAGGTCGTCCTCGAAAAGGTTGGAGGGAGGGGGTAAAGGAGGTTTTGCGGGTGAGAGGCTTAGACTTCCAGCAAGCGTGTGTGAGTGTGTTTAATAGGAGTGAATGGACACAAATGATTTTTGGGACTTTGGTTGTTTGGAGTGACATCTAGACTGTCGTATCTGAGTGCCCCTGCAAAGATATTGATTATGTATGAATGATGGTGACAGTGTTGAATGATGATGAAAGTTTTTTCTTTCTTTTTGGGTCACCCTGCCTTGGTGCAAAATGGCTGACATGTTAAAAAAAAAAAAATACATATATATGCAGTACAGGAACTTGAAAATATTTTCTCTTTTGCAGGTGTATGTGTGTAGAACATGCAGGCAAGTTTTCTGCTTTAATTGCGACATATTTCTTCATGAAACAATTCACTCCTGCCCAGGATGTGCTTCTAATCCTACAATATCTCAATATAACACAAGCTGAAAAATGTATTTACTACAGTGGACCCCCGACATTCGATGGCATCGACATTTGATAAATCCGACATTCAATGCATTTTAACGCAAAAATTTTGCCTCAACATTCGATGGAAAACCCGACATTCGATACGATTCGTACGAGACGTGTCCACGTGTGGCCTGAACTGCACTGTGTGTGCCAGTGTTTACAAGCCAGCTAGTGTGCGCGCATCTAAGGATACATTCGGTGCATTCCATATTATCACTGTTTTTGGTGCTTGTTTCTGCAAAATAAGTAACCATGGGCCCCAAGAAAGCTTCTAGTGCCAACCCTTCGAGAAAAAAGTTGCTAATGACTATTGAAATGAAGAAAGAGATAATTGCAAAGTACGAAAGTGGAGTGCGTGTGTCGGAGTGCATGATGATTTATTAAAGAAATTGCCTGCAACTAGTGGTGATGTGAGTGAATTTAAGGCCAGCAAAGGTTGGTTTGAAAGATTTAAGAATCGTATTGGCATACACAGTGTGGTAAAGCATGGTGAGGCTGCCAGTTTAAGTCCTAATGGAAGGGGATTCCCCTTCTAAACACTAACACCATCCACACTCTCCCCTCCTCCCATCCCATCAATCATCACCAGATCTTTATTAAAGGTAAGTGTCAATTATTCTATTGTTATTAATCTATTTTTATTGTTGTTATTGTAATTTTTCTATTGCATCAAACTTAATATTTCATGTGGTAAATTTTTTTTTCATACTTTTGCGTGTCTTGCACGGATTAATTTGATTTCCATTATTTCTTATGGGGAAAATTAATTTGACTTTCGATATTTTCGACATTCGATAGCTCTCAGGAACGGATTAGTATCGAATGTCGAGGGTCCACTGTATATCATATATATCTTTATATAGATGTTGCATATTTAATGTCACACACAATTAACTTTGACCCATATGTTAGGCAACAAAAGTTACTCACACATTCAAGAGTTAATAGATAATTAATTAATGAGCATTATATATAAAAAAAGAAGAAACTACATGAAAGATAACAGTAGGTAAATATAGTATGTTTTTAAGGGCTTCTGAAATGTAATGGCAACTACAGAATAACAAGCCAGGTAATTATTTCCAGAGAAAAAGATATGGTGCTCTTTAATGAAGGGATGTAAAATAGCAGTAGATTCTTTTTGTCCTTGTTTTGACTTTTTGTCTTGTTACACAACCAAATCTCTAAAAAAAATTTCATCTGCAGCCAGTGAAACTATTGATATAAAATGTTTAATAATGCATGTCAAAGCTAAGATAGTTACTGTTTATTTTCATACATTATATTTAGTACAATTTTTTTTTTTAAATATTTAGTACAATTATCATGTACTGTACCATTTTATCAGAAATCATTTCAGGATTTTCAAATCTGAACTGTAACAGTTATAATGCTCATTTCAATTGATCATTGAAGGTTTGGTGACCAGTATCCCCAATAATTGACAATTTTTCGTTTTGCTCAACTTTGTGTAGGAAAGTTAAATAAGCAGTATATAAGAAATGCTCTTGGTGAAAAGTAACAAGCAAAGGATAACTTGCATACTGTATATATATATTTATATACATGTGTTCTTTCTATTTTGTGTTTGATTTCACTTGTCTCATAGAACTGAAGGTATTAGGTTAATCTTAATAACTAAAATTTATTATAGATTTACCTTCTTTACTTTTTTGTGTGTTACTTGAATCAGTTCATCAAATCTGTATCACTTCATTTTTTTTCTTCATTCTCATTTACTTGGAAATAGAAGGTAAGAATTGTAGAAGGTGACTAAAATACCAGGCATGAGGGGTAGGTCACTGCATTTCTTGTACCTATAACAAAAATCAGCTGGAATAAGTGTTCAGAGATATTGTGACTTGTAGGTAGTAGGTTGGTAGACAGCAACTTCCCAGGGAGGTACTACCGTCCTGCCAAGTGAGTGTAAAACGTAAATCTGTAATTGTTTTACATGATGGTAGGATTGCTGGTGTTTTTTTTGTCTCATAAACATGCAAGATTTCAGGTACGTCTTGCTACTTCTACTTACACTTAGGTCACACTACACATACATGTACAAGCATATATATACACACCCTTCTGGATTTTCTTCTATTTTCTTTCTAGTTCTTGTTCTTGTTTATTTCCTCTTATCTCCATGGGGAAGTGGAACAGAATTCTTCCTCCGTAAGCCATGCATGTTGTGAGAGGCGACTACAATGCCAGGAGCAAGGGGCTAGTAACCCCTTCTGTATAAATTACTAAATTTTAAAAGAGAAACTTTTGTTTTTCTTTTTGGGCCACCCTGCCTTGGTGGGATATGGCCAGTTTGTTGAGAGAGAGAAAAAAAAAGAGGATATTGTGACTGGGTTGTTTGAATGTACATGAATGTAGAAATAAAAGATTGTAGATAATATGAATGCAAGTAGATTTTAAGAGTTGTGCTTAGAAATAAGCTTTGAAATGCTGTATATAATATATATTTAAGAAGAAAAAGGATACAGTATATAAATATTTAAAGTATGACGAAGCATCTAAACAGGTTGGTCTGCTGAATTCTGTGCTAATGGGCAAAATATTTAGGGTTAGGCATACTCAGCCAACCAGTACTTCTCAGAATGGGAGGAAAAGGTAATTGGCAGGCTGAACGTAAGGTAGTTATACTGAGGGATAGCACAAGAATCTGAAGGGGAAGATTGAAAATGTGTAATGTAGAAAGGCAAAAATTGCTTTATTGATGTGATAATTCTATATTGTGCAGGATCATGGAGATTGTGGAAGCAAACAAAAATAACAGACATTGAGTATTCTGATCTCATAATGAAGGAAAATTAGACTGTGTACAGATTTATGACTGGAAAAGAATGAATGTAATCATTGAATGATATTTAGTCCAGAAAGAGTAGCTGAAGCTGAGCATTACACTTTGTCACCATGGTTGAGTTTGGACAAGACTAAAGGCTGAATGACTAAGATTTAGAGTAAATTTTGTTTGCTAAGACAGCTTTCAGAAATGTTATGTAGGATTTCCACAATATTTAGGATCCAAAGAGGTGGCCAAGAAATTTAACAGCTTGGCAAGCCAGAAGGACACCAAACAGGAAGAGTGCTGTGGATATCCAATGTACCATGCTTGTCTCCCGTTAATCACATTTCACTAATTTGTAATTGGAGCTATTAAGAGCTATGGGTAAAGTGGTATGGGTCACTCCCTGATTCTTGATTTTTGAAAAGGAAGTACAGTTTCAAAGATTCCCACTTCTCATTACAGTGGTAGTTTTCAGAGTCGAGACATAAGTATGTCACCAAGCATGCTTGGCTGTCTGTATGACAAGCATGAGCCTTTGTATATTTAAAGGCCAAATAGCTATCAGCAGTACAGTTGCACTGATAATAGCCTGATGTAAACATGTTTTACATGAATTGCTTGAGCACTATGCTAACCACCAAGGTACGTACACTTTTTTTTTTTCAACAAACCGACCATATCCCACCAAGGCAGGGTGGCCCAAAAATAAAAATAAAAGTTTCTCTTTTTAAATTTAGTAATTTATACAGGAGAAGGGGTTACTAGGCCCTTGCTCCCGGCATTTTAGTCGCCTCTTACAACATGCATGGCTTACGGAGGAAGAATTCTGTTCCACTTCCCCATGGAGATAAGAGGAAATAAACAAGAACAAGAACTAGAAAGAAAATAGAAGAAAACCCAGAGGGGTGTTTATATATATGCTTGTACATGTATGTGTAGTGTGACCTAAGTGTAAGTAGAAGTGGCAAGACGTACCTGAAATCTTGCATGTTTATGAGACAGAAAAAAGACACCAGCAATCCTACCATCATGTAAAACAATTACAGGTTTCCGTTTTACACTCACTTGGCAGGACGGTAGTACCTCCCTGGGCGGTTGCTGTCTACCAACCTACTACCTAGGAGGTACTTACACATTTTGTGAAAATTGTCTGAGGCTCATGTGAGAGCAGTAAGAGAAGACGTTGCACAACCCTCATCCTTAGAGATGTGGAGAAAATATGACTCTTGTTTCCCCTCCCACCCATAGCAGGGAAAGAAAACAATAGCGATATGGCACATAGAGCTTCCAATGTGTGTTCTGAGATTGCTGCCAGGATTGCCGATAAGAGTGAGTGTAAGTGTTGGATATAATGAGGCCATTCAAGGCTACCTTGATACTGGTGAAAAGCTTTATCCAAGAATTTTAGCTAAACTCCCTCTTATATTAAACTGGCTTGCCTCCCATTCCCTTGGTGTTATATAACACTTACAGATTTTGAGAAAAAAACTAAAGAAAAGTACAGGTTTTGCAGTGGTAGTCAGCGCTGTATAGCCCTTGTGGCTTAGCGCTTCTTTTTTATTATAATAATAATAATTTGCAGCGGTAAATGAGTGGAATAAACTTTGAAATATACAGTGGAACCTTGGTATGCAACCAGCTCCCTACTCAAACAAAGCTCAGCACTTGACCAAACAAATACGGCCTGCCAAAACTTTGCTGTAAACTATTTCGTGTTTTTTCGCATTTTTTGGTGTTTTTTGTATTATTTTTAAAAATAAGTCACCACGGGGCCTACGACGATTAGTGATAACAGCCAATCAAACAGAAAATTGGCTGGGAGGAACTTGTTCAATACTCAAACGAAGTGTCACTCGAACAGCCTTCTGGAGTGAATTAAGGTTGCATACCGAGGTTCCGCTGTAATACTATTGAAGCAAATTTTTTGAAATGTTTTAATAAACATGGAATTGTTGGATTCCTTGTGATAACTACCAAATTATTCTAGCAACTTCAAATTTTCAATGTTAGTGTGTCTTTAGTATATTATACCCTTTTTTAGTACTAAGAAATTGGGCTCTCAAACTGAACAATTAAAAAGACATTCACAATATTTCAAACTTATACCATGTAAATTTTTAAGCAATTTCCTTTGCCCATTTAGGAGATATTAGTTTTTATCTTAAATCTACAACAGGTATTAAATATTAAGCAAAATATTAAATACTTTTTACTATGCAATGGTCTGCTATGTGTTCTTGCACATGAGAATGACTTGTGTGTGTTTCAGTAAGATCCATCTATTGGTTTTTATGATGTAAATGGGAGAACAACCATGCTAAAACCAGTCCCAAAGATGCCTACCAAGTATCAGTGGGTGACTGATGAGGTACCCCTGAAGGGGAACACGAAAGTAGTTGCTTGATTTTTTCCTCCCAATTTTATTGTTTATAACTTGAGGATGCCTATCACTTTCCATGCACTAACTTGAGAAAACCTTTTTTTTTTTTTTTTTTTGATCAGTTTCAAGCTTTCAATACAAAAGGACTGTACTTTGAAGAAGATTGGGACTGTTCTTGCAGTCTGCAGGTGCTAATTTTCCAGTTAAATTTATTTTTAAAGTGGTGTATTGGATATCAAATTGGGGAGGAGGAGTATGGAAGAAGTGAATGTTTTCAGATATTTGGGAGTTGACGTGTCAGCAGATGGATTTATGAAGGATGAGGTTAATCATAGAATTGATGAAGGAAAAAAGGTGAGTGGTGCATTGAGGTATATGTGGAGGCAAAAAATGTTATCTATGGAGGCAAAGAAGGGAATGTATGAAAGTATAGTAGTACCAACACTCTTATATGAGTGTGAAGCTTGGGTTGTAAATGCTGCAGTGAGGAGGCGGTTGGAGGCAGTGAAGATGTCCTGTCTAAGGGCAATGTGTGGTGTAAATATTGTGCAGAAAATTTGGAGTGTGGAAATTAGGAGAAGGTGTGGAGTTAATAAAAGTATTAGTCAGAGGGCTGAAGAGGGTTTGTTGAGGTGGTTTGGTCATTTAGAGAGAATGGATCAAAGTAGAATGACATGGAGAGCGTATGAATCTGTAGGGGAAGGAAGGCGGGGTAGGGGTTGTCCTCGAAAAGGTTGGAGGGAGGGGGTAAAGGAGGTGTTGTGGGCGAGGGGTTTGGACTTCCAGCAAGCGTGCGTGAGCGTGTTAGATAGGAGTGAATGGAGATGAATGGTATTTGGGACCTGACAAGCTGTTGGAGTGTGAGCAGGGTAATATTTAGTGAAGGGATTCAGGGAAATCGGTTAGTTTATATAACCGGACTTGAGTCCTGGAAATGGGAAGTACAATGCCTGTATTTTTTCCATGAAATAACTTGAGAGGGAACTAGTAAGCTCTTTATTTTCTTGATCAGTTGAGCTGTGGTACCTCCACTGGACTGTCAGGCCATCAGCCAGGAAGCCTGGTTTGACAGTAGGCCATGGAGATCAGTTTTGTATTTTCAAAATGTGGTTTTTCTGTGAAATAACCTGAGTATGCCTCTTCTGAACAGTTTCAATCTTTAATGGCTGATGCACCTTATTGACAGGATAACATCCAATCAGTTTAGTCTTAGTAGATGCAGATTTGCCCATTTCCTTATACGTGTATTGTTAACAAACTGGGCAATAAATGAAGAATGCCTTTTCTGATTGGTTTCACTCTCACTGACAGTGAACTTTGTTTAGAGGGTCACAGTGATTTTGAGTGGGACATGTTTTAATTTATGAATTTTATTAAATAAAGTGGTTTCCATGCAATAACTGGTAAATGCCTGTTCTGACCAGCTTCAGACCCTAAATCCTGGTGTATTTTAGAGAATTTTTTGGTTGATCTTTGGCTGTGTAGGTGCCAATATGCCAGTTTTATTGAAGAAAATGTAAAAATTTAAATAGGATTTCATATAATAATATGTGAATGCCTTCTTAAAGGAAGCTTTGAATTCTTATTGCACTGTATATGTGTGTGCCAATTTGCAGAACTGTACTTCATCCACTCAGTTGTTCCTGTTTGGTAGTTCCTACATGGTACAGTATTCAAATTCCTGTTATTAAAAAATAAAATATTTTTCATAATATTATAGGATAGCAGAAAATTTGAAATAGAATATAATTGAAAAACATTGAAAGCTGATATTTTTATAGCATTTTTAATTTTCACAAGTTCACCGAGTTCTTAAATATCGTAGTTTTGTGTCTTTATTGTAGAACCAGTCATACACTCAGGTATGTCTTGGGTTTTTTCTTTGCCAATGTCGCCTTGGTATTATATCATCTCCAATCTTTGTGATGCCACCACCATAGCCATGGACGTGCATCTCTGCGAGTGTCGTTCTGGTGGCTGCCATGCCATCTGACCCTGTCCTCCTTAGCCCGACCAGTCATGAACTGCTATCAACATAGCTGATAGCCCCAGTTCTTTTTCTTTTCATTATAACAATTCCCCTCCCCTCAATATTCTCCTATCCCCACTTCCTGCTCACCCCTTATAAGTCCTTACCTGACAGTCAGTTTTGTCTAGTCTAACTTAGGTACAGTGTTTTTTCTTCCTCCAGTAACTTGAGAATGCCAAATCCAATTGGATTCAAATGTTTAACACTGGTAAACTATAACTAGGGAAAAGTTCATGGAGCTTTTGTCATGTATAGGTGTTGTCTGATCAGTTTTATACAGATCATTCCTAATTTTGGTTTGCATGCAGTAACTAGAAAAAGTTTCTGATTGGTTTCAAACTATCAATACTGGTGTATCCTACTTAGAGGAAGATTAGGATTGTATTTCAAATGCTGTAGTATTCTTTCTGTGAAATAACTTGAGTAGCTACTTTTGAATGGCCTCAATCTTCAATAGCCGAAGCATTGTCTGGAAAGGATAACAACTTTCAGATTTAGGCTGCATAGGTGCAAATTTGTCAAACTGTATTAACATAGTTAATAAACTTGGATCGTTTTAATTCTGTGCTTAACTGTTAATACATATTCTGAGTATACCTGGGTGGAATAACTCCAAAATATATACTCACAGATCCGGTGCCATGGGGGTCAATGCCCCAAAGCCCAGTCTGTGACCAGGCCTCGTGGTGATAAGGGCTTTGATCAACTGGGCTATCTCGGGCTGCACTAGAACTTTGTACGAACACAGCTTGGCCGTCAGTACTAACTTTAGTGTCTGTCCAGACCTTCTTGAAACCACCAGGTTCTTTAAACTTTTAGTGCTGGTGTGTTTTTGCATCAAAATGCAAACAATTATATGCATGCATGCATCTGTGCACACACACACAGAGAGGGAGAGGGAGCAGAGGCACTATGTGTATCACTAACAACAATCTTCAACATATCTATCGAAACAGGGAGACTACCTGAGGTATGGAAAACAGCAGGTGCAGTCCCAATTTTTAGAAAAGGAGATAGACATGAAGCATTAAACTACAAACCAGTGTCACTGATGTGTATAGTATGCAAAGTCATGGAGAAGATTATCGGGAGAAGAGTGATGAAGCACCTAGAAAGAAATGAGCTTATCAACGACAGCCAGCATGGTTTCAGGAACGGGAAATCCTGTGTCACAAACCTACTGGAGTTTTATGACAAGGTCATGGAAGTAAGATGAGAGAGAGGGATAGGTAGATTGCATTTTCTTGGACTGTAAGAAGGCTTTGAACACAATTCCACACAAGAGATTAGTACAAAAGCTAGAGAAGCAGGCAGGAATAAAAGAAAGGCACTGCAATGGATCAGAGAATACCTGACAGGAAGGAAAGAACGAGTCATGATGTGTGACAAGATGTCAGAACTGGGTATGTACAGTGGTACCCCAAGTTTCGAACTTTCTTTGCTCCAGAAGGCTGTTCAAGTGCTGATACCAAACGAATTTGTTCCCATGAGGAATAATGTAAATTGGATTAATCCATTTCAGACCTCCAAAAATACACTTACAAAAGCACTTACAATAATACGCTTACATAATTGGTCGAGTTGGGAGCAGTTCGAAACTTGGGATACCACTGTACCTGTGATGAGCCGGGTTCCACAGGGGTTAGTCCTAGGGCTGGTGCTATTTCTGGTATATGTGAATGACACGACGGAAAGGATAGAGTCAGAGGTATCCCCATTTGCAGAGGATGTGAAGCTAATGCGAAGAATTAAATCAGATGAGGATCAGGTAGAACTACAAAGGGATCTGGACAGGCTGCAAGCCTGGTTCAGCAACTGGCTCCTGGGGTTTAACCCCGCCAAATGGAAAGTCATGAAGATAAGGGAAGGTCAAAGAAGGCCATAAATAATAATAAAATTTTATTTCTTTGCTAACGTTACAATGTGTGTTTACATTTCATAATTTGATTGGAACAAAGACAACCATAGAGTACAAGCTAAGGGGCCAAAGACTGCAAACCTCACTCGAGGAAAAGGATCTACAGTACCTCTGTTGATATATAAAAAACAATGTTCAATTCGAATCAACTATGATCTACAGTGGTACCTTGACTTACAAGTTTAATTCATTCCGTGACTGAGCTCGAAACTCAATTTGCTTCTTTATTAAATCAATTTTCCTCATTAGAATTAACTAAAATGCCATTAATCCATTCCAGCCCCCAGAAACCACCCCAGTTTTATTGTAGCATATACAATGTATATACAGTATACTCATTACTTACCTTAAAATATTTGTAGTTGTAATGTTGGGTGAGAGGTGAGTATTTATTGTACAAAGAGGAAGAAAAAGAACAAAGAATGGAAGTACAAAAGAAGATCACAGTAGAGGGGTTAGCTTGTGTGTTCATCTGTGTTTACATTCTCAATGTCTCTTGTAGCAGTTTAATTAAGAAATGATTCAACTCAGTGAACAATGTTATCATTGATAATAATAATAATAATAATAATAATAATAATAATAATTATTTATAACATAATAATTAATAATAATTGCTCTGGAATGCTTTAAATCTCAGCTACCAAACCTATATGAAATATGTATGACATTTAAAGCACTAAAGAGCGATTATTATACATATCTGAAGCTCACTCGTAACTCGGATTTTGGCTCGCAGCTCAAAGCAAAAAATCGACCGAGCGACGGCTTGTAACTCGGAAAATCCGTGAGTTGGGACATTCGTAAGTCAAGGTACCACTGTATATGTCTAGTAATAAATAGTCTGTAAAGCATTTGGTTTAGTCTGCCTGAAATGCCTCGGCATGATAAAGGCTTTCTTTGCACTTAGCAAATCAATATTGTAAACTATGCAAAAAAAATAAAATTTTGAATTTTGAATTTGAGCACATCACCTAAATAACTGCTGCAACATAAGGGCTCCTGGCAAACCTAAGAATAGCATTTCAACACCTTAGTAAGGAATCATTCAAGACTGTACACTGTGTATGTCAGGTCTATATTGGAGTATGCAGCACCAGTTTGGAACCCACACACCAGGTCAAGCACATCAAAAAATTAGAAAAAGTGCAAAGGTTTGCAACAAGAATAGTCCCACAGCTAAGGGGTATGTCCTATGAGAGGTTAAGGGAACTCAACCTGACGATACTGGAGGACAGGAAAGATAGAGGAGGACATGATAGAGACATAAAATACTAAGAGGAATTGATAAGGCAAATAGGGACCAGAAGTTTCAGAGATGGGACACAGCAACAAGGAGTCACAACCGGAAGTTGAAGACTCAAATGAGTCACAGGGATGTTAGGAAGTATTTCTTCAGCCATAGAGTTGTCAGGAAGTGGAACAATCTGGAGAGAGATGTAGTGGAGGGAGTATCCATACGCAGCTTTAAGAAAAGATACGATAAAACTCGTGGAGCAGGGAATGAGTGGACCTAGTAGCAACCAGTGAAGAGGCAAGGCCAGATCTGACTTGACCCCTGCAACCACAACTGGGTGAGTGCACGCATTCATATCCATATATACATGCATGCATACCTACACACATGTATATATCCCAACACGCATTCATAGCCACATGCTGGGTCACCATGGTGCCCCCATGGCCCTGGCTATGGTGCCCCTGTGGCCTGGCTTATAGTGCCCCAGAGGCCTGGTTGGCAAAGCTTTTGCTTCACACACGGAGGGTCCGGGTTCAATTCCAGGTGGGGTGGAAATATTTTGACGCACACGAAAATCACTCACTACGAAAGCAAAAGACTTGGCAGATGATGCAACATCCCCCCAATGAAAAGCAGGGGTGTCACTAGCACGTTAAGAGACCATACAATAAGAGTCAGGGGCCCGAGACTGTTCAACTGCCTCCCAGCATACATAAGGGGGATTACCAACAGACCCCTGGCAGTCTTCAAGCTGGCACTGGACAAGCACCTAAAGTCGGTTCCTGACCAGCCGGGCTGTGGCTCGTACGTTGGTTTGCGTGCAGCCAGCAGCAACAGCCTGGTTGATCAGGCTCTGATCCACCAGGAGGCCTGGTCACAGACCGGGCCGCGGGGGCGTTGACCCCCGGAACTCTCTCCAGGTAAACTCCAGGTACACCTGTTGTCCTGTTAACGTAGCAGCAAATAGGTATCTGGGTGTTAGTCGACTGGTGTGGGTCGCATCCTGGGGGACAAGATTGAGGACCCCAATGGAAGTAAGACAGAGTCTTCGATGACGCATTGCCTCTCTTGGGTTATCCTGGGTGGCTAACCCTGCAGGGTTAAAAATCCAAATGAAATCTTATCTTCAATTCAATTCAAAGTTTATTCTCTATAAGGATTGCAATGCTGAGTTTACAGAATTTGGTTATTGTGTGGTTTACATGTAGTAAAATAATGATTACAGAGTGTACCACTAGAACACCTAGCATGGCTAGGCATTTCGGGCAGACTTAGTTTAATTCTTAATTTTAAAATATTACAAATTATGAGGTAAGTTGGTATTATGGCTAAGTGACTAGTGGCCCGGTGGCCTGGTGGCTAAAGCTCCCGCTTCACACACGGAGGGCCCGGGTTCGATTCCCGGCGGGTGGAAACATTTCGACACGTTTCCTTACACCTGTTGTCCTGTTCACCTAGCAGCAAATAGGTACCTGGGTGTTAGTCGACTGGTGTGGGTCGCATCCTGGGGGACAAGATTAAGGACCCCAATGGAAATAAGTTAGACAGTCCTCGATGACGCACTGACTTTCTTTCTTGGGTTATCCTGGGTGGCTAACCCTCCGGGGTTAAAAATCCGAACGAAATCTTATCTTATCTTATCTTACTAGTTTGTGAGTTTAGCAATGTGAATGCTTTTGTTTTGGCACAGTACATAGTTTCAGTATTGGAGTATCACAGGATTCATTATTTTAAGATTGAGATTAATATTTCTGTTTATGGTCAAATGGGTGAGTGAGTGTAAGTGTGAACCACCAGGTGGTATTCGTGTAGTTAGTTGATGGGGTGTATCAGGGAGATAAGATGTTTTCTAATGGTAGTTTTGAAGGTGATGAATGTGTCTGCAGTTCTAGAATTCTCAGGTAGGGTGTTCCAGATTTTAGGGCCTTTGACATACATTGAATTTTTGTAAAGGTTTAGTCAGACACGGGGAATGTCGTAGAGATGTTTGTGTCTGGTGTTATGCCTGTGGGTTCTGTCACAACTATCAAGAAAGCGTTTTAGGTCAAGGTTGATATTAGAGTTTAAGGCCCTGTAGATGTAGATTGCACAGTAGTAAGTGTGGATGTACTGAACAGGGAGTAAGTTTAGATCTATGAAGAGTGGGGGGGGGGGTGTTGCCAGGGATGGGATTTAGTGATTATTCTTACTGCAGCTTTTTGTTGGGTTATTATTGGCTTTAGGTGTGTTGCTGCAGTTGATCCCCCAAGCACAAATAGCATAGGTGAGGTATGGATAAATAAGTGAGTGGTATAGTGTGAGAAGGGCATTTTGCGGCACGTAGCATCGTATCTTGGAGAGAATCCCAACCGTTTTGGATACTTTTTTGGTTATATGTTGGATATGGGTGCTGAAATTCAGGTTGTTGTCAAGGTATAGGCCTAGGAATTTGCCCACATTATGTCTGGTAATTAGAGTGTTGTCAATCTTAATGTTAATTTGTGCATCTCCTGCTCTGCTACCAAACATAATATAGTAGGTTTTGTCAGTGTTAAGCGTAAGTTTATTGGCTGTCATCCAAGTCTACACCCCTCAAGGAAGGTTCCTTGATGTTGGTGAGGGGCTCTTGATTTAGGGAATTGGATCTGTGCTCCACTTCCCCGAATTAAGCCTGAATACCTTCCACATCCCCCCCCAGGCGCTGTATAATCCTCCGGGTTTAGCGCTTCCCCCTTGATTATAATAATAATAATGTCATCCAAGTCGATATTTTGATCAGCTCCTCGTTAACAATGGTGTTGAGAGTGGCAAGATTAGGGTGAGAGATGACAAGTCGTGTCGTCAGCAAAGAGAATGGGTTTCAGGTGTTGGGATACGTTTGGAAGATCATTGATGTATATGAGGAAGAGCAGGGGACCAAGGACACTGATGTATATGAGGAAGAGCAGGGGACCAAGGACACTTCCCTGCGGAACTCCAGTATCAAGTGGCCGTGTTGTTGATGCTGTGTCTTTAATGGTGACATACTGATACCTATTAGTAAGGTAAGATTTGAAATAAGCAAGCGCATGGCCTCTTATACCGTAATGGTCAAGTTTGTGGAGTATGATGTGGTCTACTGTGTCAAAAGCTTTTCTTAGGTCAATAAAAATTCCTAGTGGATATTCCTTATTCCTTATTACCATGAACACATTAACTCAAATTATATATATGCATACGGGATACTTAATCTACAATGCTAATAACCCAAGATAATCCAGGAAAGCCAGAGTGTGGCATATTTTCATTGAGGCCTTTTTTTTCCTTAATCTGGTACATCCGCAGTGTGTAACTACCTTACTAGAGCTTCATAGTTGTTAAAGCTAGCTATGTTGTTCTGTCCCCTCAAGGAAGGTTCCTTGATGTTGGTGAGGGGCTCTTGATTTAGGGAATTGGATCTGTGCTCCAGTTCCCCGAATTAAGCCTGAATGCCTTCCACATCCCCCCCAGGCGCTGTATAATCCTCCGGGTTTAGCCCTTCCCCCTTGATTATAATAATAATATGTTGTTCTGTCACATCCCCCCCCCAGGCGCTGTATAATCCTCCGGGTTTAGCGCTTCCCCTTGATTATAATAATAATAATGTTCTGTCACATTCCATTACATGAAGTGTTGCATATATGGGATAACGAAATTTGTTATCCTGAGCGGAGACTTCAGCAGAACGATGGCGAAAAAGGTGGCAGAATTTTCTTTATTTTACTTAGCAAAACTGGTGACAGTAATGTTCTGCTACTCTATTCTATTTGATAGTTACATAAAAGTGTAGAAAGGACGAAGGAAAAAAGGGAAGAACGATTTTTTTTTACAGAATAAAAATGGGTGCCCTGGCAGTGTGCTGCTACCCTACCCTTCTATGTGATAATTAGTGTGCTATGAGTGTTTGCTGTCATTTTCCATCACACAGTATGGGTTTTGTGCAGGCTGTGAAATCTGTGAGCTTGAACTGGATTATTATTATTACAATCAAGGGGGAAGCGCTAAACCCGGAGGATTATACAGCGCCTGGGGGGGGGATGTGGAAGGCATTCAGGCTTAATTTGGGGAACTGGAGCACAGATCCAATTCCCTAAATCAAGAGCCCCTCACCAACATCAAGGAAAGCTTGAACTGGAAGACTTCGGTAATGCAATGAGGACATTGTCCAGTATTTAAGTTGGGTAGCAGCAGCAGCAAAGTTAGTTAGCTAGTTTAATATGTTTATTATGCACCCCATACCCATCCTGTGGGCGGTAGTCAAAAGATTACAGAGGTACATAATTGGTCCAGGGACTGGACTCCAAAGTTTTGATAGCTGAGCAAGTTAGACAGTGTAATAAAAATCGTTTCAGCAGAACTGGAATTACTGTTATTCGTGTCCGTATAGCCCTTGTGGCTTAGCGCTTCTTTTTGATTATAATAATAACTGTTATTTGTGAATTACTGTCTTTGTGTATGCCTTTCCCACACGGGAAAAATAAAGTTATGAAGATATCACCAAGTAAGACAAAATTAATATATAAAATAGGAGCATGGTGGTACGAGAAATAAACAAGATACAGAGAAGGTAGTCAACAGGAGATGTAGTAGGGTAAATGAGATAGGTGGGGGTAATACGTGTCTGGTGGTAATGGAGGGGTCGGGGGTTAAGGCATGAGTGCCAAAGCAGTCTCCCTCCCCCATCCCTCTTACTGTGTGTGGTGGCACCCGCAGTCATTGCCACAACATCAGAGTGCCAGCAGTGTCACCAGCGCCCTCTCTCAGCAAGACAAGACCCACATAGTCGTAATCTTTATAGTGAGCACTCGTGTAAACAAACCTGCTCTCCATGTTTATTTATATAAGTTCTCCCCGGGCCCTTTCTTACTGGAAAACTTATTTAACCAACAGGATAATAGTTTGAATGTAACAGACTCCTTAGTGAACCTGCCTAGTAGGAGCCAGTAGGCCTGTTGTAGGTTTTTATTGCTTATAAAGTGTGGATTAACAGATATGAATATTTGCTCAGCACGAGCCAATTAATCCTCTTGCATTATCATGTGTCGATGAGTGATTTAAACTTGTTATGTTCCGTTAACTGAATGTATTGATGGGAAACTTGAGGAGTATAGTGTGTGCAATGTTTTTAAAAGATTTAATTAAGTTTCTAGGTGAGCGGGCGCCCATCTTCAACCCGATTCCATTTTGCGAAGACATTAAATAAATAAATAAATAAAAGGGGGAGGGGGCGGTTGGCTACCTTGACTCTGGTGAATGGCTCTTAATACAAAAGCCCTTGTGGCTTAGCGCTTCTTTTTGATAATAATAATAATAATAATAAATCTTAATACAAAAATGAAAATACTGAATCCGCACTCTCCTTCGAATCAAATCTGTCTCCCATTTTCCAGGGGCTGTATTAGGCTTATGGCTTTAGCGCTTCCCCTTCAGTATAAAGAAGAATCAGTGTGGGTTGAGCACGTAAGAGGTATATAGGTGTCCTTCCAGCATGAAAAGACACACATACTTTTACGTTCACCAGATTAGCAAATTAGAGGATGTTATGATAAAATAGGAAGAGAATCACTGCAGAAAGCATATCAGAGGTAGTTTATGGTGAATCAAAGGTACATAAGCCTTAAGCTTTTTATTTCACGTTTCGTTCGTTAGACAAGTTTCCAAAGTTACACACGTGTCTAATTTATATATTTGTTGGTATTAAAGATACTAAACTAACTTGTGTGCTACGTTGCACCCGTTTGGGCTTTTCCATTTACATGACAAAGCTCGAGCAACGTCATTAAATGACTTTGCCGATGTGTTTGATGCACCAGGAGGTACACTGGCCACCATAGAGTAAGTTTGACTCATACACCACCATTCCCGCTTGTGCATGTCTTTAATCAGTTTTAAAGCTACACAGTTTGTTCCTCTCTTCTACAACTTCATTACTAAACTGTTGCGCTTTACTTTATCTTTAATGAATCTTGATTTTATCAAACTTGGAAGTGTTCCAAATTATGGCCTTAGCTGTTGTAAGCAACTTCATTAAATCTCATTTTGATGAAAAAAACAAAAACATAAATCAGTTGAAAACTTTGATAAATGATACTATGGCAGACTGGAAACTTGATAAAGACAACGTTTCGCTTGGGGACTCGGCTTACCAAAGAGAGAAAAACGTCTATAAATATAGATTTGTTCTGGACATAACTTCTTTTATTTTTACGTTTGTCATTTAGATCTAGCCATCCATCATTTTTTTTTCAGCACACTGGCCGTCTCCTACCAAGGTAAGGTGACCCAAAAAAGAAAAAAAGAAAACTTTCACCATCACTCCATCACTGTCTTGCCAGAGCAGGGCGGATATTACAGTTCAAAACTGCAAATATCCCCACCCCTCTTTCAGAACGCAGGCACTGTACTTCCTACCTCCAGAATTCAAGTCCGGCTAACCGGTTTCCCTGAATCCCTTCATAAATGTTACCTGCCTCACACTCAACCAGCAAATGAAATCATAAAAAACACTTGTCTCCATTCACTCCTATCTAACATGCTCACACTGGCTGGATAACCAATCCCCTGGCATACAAAAACCTCCCTTACCTCTTCCAACCTTTCCTAGGACGATCCCTACCCTGCCTTGTCTTCTATTCTTACATCATCCTAGTTTGTTCCATCTCTCTAAATGTCCAAATCACCTCAACATCCCATCATCACCCCTTTGGATAATACTTCTAGTAATCTCGCATCTTCTAATCTCCATGCTATGAATGCTTTGCATAATATGCACATCACACATTGCTCTCAGACACGACATCTACACTGCCTCTAGCCTCCTGCTTGCTGCAACATTTACAACTCATGCTTCACACCCATAGAAGAGTGTTGGTATCACTATACTCTCAAACATTCTCCTTTTTGCCTCCATGGATAATGTTCTTTGTCTCAATAGATGCCTTAATGCACCACTCACCTTTTCCCTTGTCAATTCTATGGTTCACTTAGTTTTTTCATAGACCCCATTTGACAAGTCCAATCCTAAATATCTGAACACATTCACTTCTTCAATACTCCCTCCGTCCAATCTAATGTCCAGTCTTCCATTACCTAAATTTATTTGTTACCCTCATCACCTTGGTCTTTCCTATGTTCACTTTCAATTTCCCTCCTTTACACACCCTTCCAAATTCGTCCACCAACCATTGCAACTTCTCGTCAGAATCTTCCCAAAACACCATGTCGTCGGCAAAAAACAACTGTGACAACTCCCTCTTTGTATTAAGATTCTTTATCTTCCAATCCCAACATTATATTGCTTTTATTTGTTCTTACTTTTCATTCGCCAATCTATCTCTCAAGTGCAAATTGAGTGATCCCAATCTATTGTCTTGGGATTCTTGATACAAGAGCTTTGTCAACAGGTCAACGAAGACAAATTTCCATTATTCCACTATGGAAAACTCGAGGAAATTAAAACTGTATTGGAGTATAAAACAAATTCCAACCACATAATAGAGCGAGAAACTAATGTGAAGGACCTGGGAGTGATAATGTCAGAGGATCTCACTTTCATACATCACAACAAAGTATCTACCACGTCCCTTAGGAAAAATGATAGGATGGATAATGAGAACCTTCAAAACTAGGGATGCCAAGCCCATTATGATTCTTTTCAAATCCCCAGGGCACTGTATTACCCCGACGAGTTTAGCGCCTCTTCATGAATACTACTACTACTAATAAAAATTTATCCGCTGTGGTTTGTCAGGCAACAAGACAAATGTTTCTCGACGCGCGTCTCAGTCACATATGATCCCTAGTTGGAACGTTTAGTCATCTGAGCGAGGCTTTCCGCTATGACTTGCTAAACGATTTTTTTTCTGTGTTTACTGATGTGGTTATGTTTCTTTCTGTAAAGCACTAACAGTCTCCCTCCGATGTTGGGTACCCCTTGCCCCCTTAAACATAATAGTTTAGTTTAATATGTTTATTATGCACCCCATACCCATCCAGTGGGCGGTAGTCAAAAGATTACAGAGGTACATAATTGGTCCAGGGACTGGACTCCAAAGTTTCGATAGCTGAGCAAGTTACAGAGGTATAATAAAGACACCCATTCACTATCGTTCACTTATTAACTTACTAGAAGTGCGCATGCAAAACAATTGAATGACCTTTCGAAAAGGAAATATTAAGGTTGGCTTTGGTTATTATCATGCTTTTTTTTTCACTCATTTGACATTCTGTCTTGCTTATCTTCCTTCCTCTCTGCCGGCCACAGACTCTTGATTCAAGCCCTTCAAGGGAAGCACCTTGACGCCAGTGAGAGGCTCTTGATCCAGATTACCTCCCATTCCTCAAGGCTGGAGGGTGTATTTTTGCTTTTAGTTATTTGTGGGAGTTCTGATTTAGTATTAACATTTAGGTTAGGTTCATATATAGGGGTTTGGACACATGTGCTATTCAGTAAAACATTCATGACCGGATATATTTCTTAATTTTAAGAGTTTTACAGGATGCTTGTTAGTGGTAACCATCTCAGGATGTCTTAGTGATAGTGTGTTTTCTTACAAAAGTTTTTCAGTAGTGGATTTCCCAACGGTGTTGAACTTCTTATACTCATCATTTCTAACATTTGCTGAACAGAAATTTATAGATGATATGTCAGCTAACCGAATAACTGACTAGTATTTCAATATTTTTTCACTAAAATTCTGTGATTTAATTACCATTAACAGACTTAATAGCTACGCCGTACAGGCTTGGCGCTTCCTTTTAATATAATAATAATAATAATAATAATAATAATAATAATAATAATAATAATAATAATAATAATAATAATAATAATAATAATAATAATATAGTAGTAGTAGTAGTAGTAGTAATAATAATAATAATAATAATAATAATAATAATAATAATAATAATAATAATAATAACAACACGAGCCCTGTTATAGTTGTAGGTTAATGAAAGCCAGAGTAACAATAACAAGTGTACTACTCTCCACGGCCCGGCTCAACAACAACAACACAGTTATAAAATAATGAACATAACATAGTATTTAATCCTCTCACTACTCAACAACTTACAGTCCTCCTTTTCTAAATTACCTTACATCATCACAACAGGTGGAATGGTTACCATATAAAGATTAGCTCATCATCCAAACTACTTATAACTCCAACTTAGTATCTGGAGGTCTGACCACTCTTCTGGAACGCCGTAGATATGGAGGGTTTGCACTGTCCTGAGGTGCAGCCTGTCCTATCATGCTGCCGTTTTCCTCATCAGACCTTCCAGGAGGTTCTTCCTGAATGCTAACTTGATCCTTAAGTTTACCACTATTATCTACTGTGGGCAGTTCCTCTAAACCATTGCTTACAGCTTCTGGTACTGTTGGAATCAGTGGTTGCTCTCCACTCCTAAACCTTGGTATGAGTTGATCTATATGCCTTTTCCATATCATATTACCAAAACCTCTAACGCTTTGTAATTCCAAACCCCTAATACCTCCACAATCTTCCCTTCTACCCAAGAGTCACCTTTCCCAAAAATTTTGACATACACAGCATCAACTTGAAATTGCTTCGCCTCCCTGAAATTCACCAACAGGCCTGGTCACAGACCGGGCCGCGGGGGCGTTGATCCCCGGAACTCTCTCCAGGTAAACTCCTGGTAAACAGGCGTTAGGCAATGGCTGAGTCTTCCCTAACAAAACGTCTGACAGCCGCTACAGGGACTTTAAAATCCTATTAAACATCATTTCTGCTGGTGTCTTACTAGTGGAGGAATGAACAGTTTTCCTATGGTTATATAAGAACCTACATAATCTGGTATTAAGAGATCCTTTTGTAAATTTGTGTAATCCTTCCTTTAACGTCCTTACTGCCCTCTCTGCCAGACCATTTGATGATGGATGGTATGAAGCTGGAGTAACATGTTCAATACTATTTTTACTAAAGAAGGCTTCCAGCTCTTGTGGTACAAAGTATAAATGGAGAGGGTTTTGAGGGTCAACGCCCCCACGACCTGGTCTGTGACCAGGCCTCATGGTGGATCAGGACCTGATCAACCAGGCTGTTGCTGTTGGCAGCAGGCAACCCGACGTACGAACCACAGCCCGGCTGATCAGGTACTGACTTTAGGTGCATGTCCGGTGCCAGCTTGAAGACAGCCAGGGGTCTATTGGTAATCCCCCTTATGTATGCTGGGAGGCAGTTGAACAGTCTTGGGCCCCTGACACTTATTGTGTTATCTCTTATCGTGCTAGTGGCACCCCTGCTTTTCATTGCGGGGATGTTGCATCGTCTGCCGAGTCTTTTGCTTTCATAAGGAATGATTTTCGCGTGGAAGTTTGGTAATAATTCCACTAGGATTTTCCAAGTGTATATAATCATGTATCTCTCCCGCCTGCATTCTAAGGAGTACAGGTTGAGGAACTTCAAGCGTTCCCAGTAATTTAGGTGTTTTATAGCAGTTATGTGTGCCGTGAAGGTTCTCTACATTTTCTAGATCAGCAATTGCACCTGCCCTGAAAGGTGCTGTTAGTGTGCAGCAATATTTCAGCCTAGATAGAACAAGCGACCTGAAGAATGTTATCATGGGCTTGGCATCCCTAGTTTTGAAAGTTCTCATTATCCATCCTGTTATTTTTCTAGCAGATGCGATTGATACACTGTTATGGTCTTTGAAGGTGAGATCCTCTGACATGGTCACTCCCAGGTCTTTTACATTAGTTTTTCGCTCTATTGTGTGTTTGGAGTTTGTTTTATAATCCGATATAGTTTTAATTTCCTCACGTTTTCCATATCGGAGTAATTGAAATTTCTCATCATTGAACTTCATAC